CCACCTGCACTTGGAGGGACTAGAAAAGGAAAAACTCAGACACCCTAACTGACCATGCCCATCTACCTTACAGGGGGCCTGAGGCTATCTGGTAAACCCATTACATGGCTGGGCCCATTATCTCTGCCATGCTCTGGGGTGGTGAATTCACACCTTTTCTTCTCTTCAGCCTCAGCACCCTCTTCCTGCTCTTCACTCAGCTGAGGACACTGCTTCTTATTTCTCTGGAAAAATGGAAGCCATCAGGGGAAAGCTTCCTAAGGTTCCCATCACAGACCTAGTGCATTTCACCTGTCTAAGCCACCTTCCTCCTGTGACTCAGAGGGACTCTGCTGCCAACCCTCCCCGTGCCCTTGACCCCACCCTCTAGATTCCTCAGGGACTCCACACTTGCCTTGTCCCTTCTCTTCCTTCTGCATCATCAGTTTCCGGTCTCTCCTGGCTTATTCTGGCCAGCATTACACACATGGTTTAACAGCTCCTCCCCTTAAAGCAAAATCCTCCCTTAGTCCCACACCCATCTCCAGGGTCAGTCCCATGTCTCTGCTCCTTTTATAGCAAAGTTCCTTGGAGGCGTGGCCTCCACTTCCTCTGGTCCCATACTTATGCTTCACTCCAATCAGGCGGTTGACCCCAGAACACTCTCTTGTCTCTTAAAACTGCTCTCATTGCTGGGCACAGTGGCTCGCGCCTATAATACCAGCACTTTGGGAGGCCGAGGCAGGCGGATTGCTTGAGGTCAGGAGTTCAAGACCAGCCTGGCCAACATGGTGAAACCCCGTCTCTACTACAGAAATTAGCCAGGTGTGGCGGCGTGCGCCTGTATTCCCAGCTACTTGGGAGGCTGAGGCAGGAGAATCGCTTGAACCTGGGAGGCAGAGGTTGCAGAGAACTGAGATCATGCCACTGCAGTCCAGCCTGGGCTACAGAGCAAGACTTCACCCCCCCCCAAAAAAAAAAAAAAAAGACCAAACCAAACCAAACCAAAAAATGAAAAACCCCTGCTTTTGTCAAGGTCACTGGTGATCTCCACTTTGCCAATTTCAAAGGTCAATTCTCACTCCTTATCTTCAAAAACCTTCCTGCAGCATTTGACTAACCAAGCTAGCTGAGCCCTTGCCCTTGAAACGCTTTCTTCCCTGGCCAGGACTCTCCCACATTTGCCTCCTACTTTGTGGGCCCCTCCCTGGTCTCCTTTCCTGCTTTTCCTCCCCACCCTGACCTCTACTCCTGGCACATTCCAGGGCTCCTCTCTCTCTACACTTATCCTTGAGGATCTCATCCAGATGCCTGGCTTTGACAATCATCTATGTTTTGTTGGTTCCTAAGTGTATATTTCTAGTCCCCACCGCCCGTTGCATCCAGGCCACTTGACGCTACGCTCTACTCAGGATGCTACCGGATGGCTCACAGGCATCCAATGTGTCCAAAACTGAGGTCCTAGTTTCCCTCCCAGACTCCTCCCACTTCATTAAACGACAGCTCCAGTCTTCCAGTTGCTCAGGCCAAAACTTTGGAGTTATTCTTGAATCCTTTCTTTTTCTCAAGCCCCACATTTAATCAGCCAATCATGTCAACTTTACCTTCAGATATATCTGGAGTCTGAGCACTTGTCCCCACCTTCACCAGACTTCCCGGCTGCCACATGTCCTTTCCCCTCGATGATTGCAGCAGCCTCCTAACTGGCCTCCTGCTTCTACCCTGGCCTCCCCTGGTCCATACTTCATGCAGAAGGCAGACCGGTTCCTTTACAATGCAAAGAGCAGTCCTCTGCTCACATGCCCAGTGACTTCCCATCTCCCGGGGAGATCCGATGAGGCCCCTCAGGAATAGCTCCTGACATCACCTGGTGTAGCCCCTCAGATCTGCCCTCATCTTTCTGCACTCCATCCAGCGGCTGCCTTGCTGTAGTTGAACAAGCCAGCCGTGCTCCTGCATCTCAGCATTTGTGTTGGCGGTTCCCTTTAGCTGGAATGCTCTGCCCCCAGATATTGGCACAATCGCTGTCTCACTCTTAGGCAGATCTCAGCTCCAATGTGCCCTCTTCGGTGAGTCCCCTCTTCCGACTATCTAAAGTAGCAGCCGCCTCATGTTCACATGGAGCTATCACGAAGCTGTTTTCTTCCCAACACTTACTGTTATCTGAAATAATCTTATTTATTTCTTTGTGTATTGTTCGTCTTATCCACCAGAATGGAAGCTTTATGGCGGCAGAAATTGTCCCACAAGCTAGCACAGAGCCTACCACATGGTTGCCGGGGCTGCCACAGAAGGTTGTAAAGGTTGTTCGCTACATCAGAGCTCTTGGCTGAGGAGCCGTGGGTGCTGATACCCAGTTTGCCCTCTGTTCTCCACAATGTGGGGCCGTCCAGCAGCTAGCCATCTGCTTTTCAGCAATGTGTGACATATGGGTTGGCTGTGACTCTGGTGGCCATTCAAAAAATATTCATTGAATAAATTACTGAATGATGGATGTGCAGAGCCTCTGCTTGTTTTCCTCTGCAGAACTTCATGCCAATTACCTTCTCACAGCCTCATTTTCCTTTTCCATTAAGGGGACAGTTAACATCTACCTCATAGCATGGTTACAAGGATTAAGTGAAACAGTTCATTAAAAAGCTGGCATAAATGTGATTCCATTTATATGAAATATCCAGAACAGGCAAATCCATAGAGACTGAAAGCAAATTAATGGTCGTGAAAGACTGGGGGGAAAGGGACGTGGGAAATACTGCTTAATTGGTCAGGGGTATCCCTTTGGGGTGATGAAAATGTTTTAGAACTAGAGTGATGGTTGCATGACATTATGAATGTACTACACACTACTGAACCGTGTACCAGGAAATGGCTAACATGGGGAATTTTATGTTATATGAATTAGGTTATGGTATATGAACACCTCAATTTAACAAAACCTGGCACAGTGTCTAGGACGTGGTAGGTGCTCATGAATATCAGTTGAATCTCATGATTTCCTTGCTTCAAAAACAAAGTAAAACCCTAAGCCCTCCTTGGTGCCTCATTGCCCCATCCAGGATAATCCTCTCTTTCCTCAAATTTGTTTCAGAAGAGTATACTGTTGCCATTTTAGATATGGGGGATATGATGGAAACAAGACCAATGCAGAGCCCACTCCCAGGGTTTACAGGTTGGGGGAAACTAAAGAGAAAATCACACCCGACATGGTTCAGGATATAGGGGAGAAGGGCCACCATCTGCAGGGGTGCAGTGGAGAGTGGGGAAGGCAGGAGTCCCAGGAGAAGGGAGCAGAGCCAGGGAGATGAGAGGGCATGGTGGGTTCAGGGAATAGAGAAGAGTTTGGTGGCCGGGCGCAGTGGCTCATGCCTGTAATCCCAGCACTTGGGAGGCTGAGGCAGGCAGATCACTTGAGGTCAGGAGTTCGAGACCAGCCTGGCCAACATGGCAAAAACCTGTCTCTACTAAGAATATAAAAATTAGCTGTGTGTGGTGGTGCATGCCTGTAATCTAGCCACTCGGGAGGCTGAGGCAGGAGAATCGCTTGAACCCCAGGGCCGCAGGTTGCAGTGAACTGAGATAGCACCACTGTACTCTAACCTGGGTGACAGAGACTCTGTCTCAAAAAAAAAAAAAGAAAATAGAAAAAAGAAAAGAAAATAGTTTGGTATAGCTGCAGCAGAGGAGGCAGGATAGGTGGGAAGGGATGCCCTGAGGGTTCAGATTTCAACCTAAGATTTTCAAGGCCAAGTGTGAACTGGCCTCCACCTTCCAGCCACAGTTCTACCATGCCTTATTTGCATCTCCTCTCTGTACCCCCCCTTTTATTTTTTTGAGACAGGGTCTTGCTCTGTAGCCCAGGCTGGAGTGTAATGGCGCAATCATGGCTCACTGTAGTCTAAAACTTCTGGGCTCTGGCAGTCCTCCCACCTCAGCTTCCCCAGTAGCTAGGACTACAGGTGAGCATTATCACGCCCAACTAATTTTTGTGTTCGTAGTAGAGATGGGGTCTCCCTATGTTGCCCAGGCTGATCTCCAACTCACGGGCTCAAGCAATCAACCCGCTTCGGCCTCCCAAAGTGCTGGGATTACAGGCGTGAGCCACCATGCCTGGCCTCTCTGCAGCCCTTGTTCCCACTGTGCCCTGTCTCTCCTTGTGAATTCGGGGCCTCCAGGCCTTGGCACATGCTGTCCTTCTTCCCTTAGGTAGTTACGGGGAGCCTGGCCTGGTTCAGTACTGTGCTGGGAGCCACAGGCTGTCAAAGCCTGGCCCCGCCCTGGGAAAGCGAATAATCACAAGATAATGAGGAATGCTGTGGGTGCTCTGCACGTGGAAGAGTAGGGGCTTGCAGGGTAGAGGGAGGGCTCAGGGAAGGTGATTCCTGAACTGGAACTTGAAGAACAGGGGGCACCAGGCCCAGAGACGAGGAGTAAAGCTAAAGGGAATCAGAGAGCACCCGGGAGAGGTTCAGAGGCTGGCTTGTGGGGTCACAGAATCCTGAGATCCAGATGAAGGTTGAGCCCCCATCCAGATCCACCACTCACCCCCTACACAGTTACACACCCATTTGCAGGCAATTTGGGAGAGTTCTTGGTCCTTCTGGCTTTGCCTGGAAAGAATGCCCTCCCCACCCGCTCTGGTTCCAGCCCACCACCCTTACAGGCCTGCAAAGCTCCTGCTTCAACTCTGGACTTTGTACCAGTCACCGGACATTCAGTTGTTTATCAGCCTGAGCATCTGCCTGCTGAGGTGTCTGCCCCTCTAGGGGCCGCTGGACCCTTCTCTGGATCCCAGCTGTACAAACCCCCAGCATTGGGGGGTGAGGGTGAGGTCTACACCCATAAAGTTCTTGGCAAAAGCTTGGGGGAGACGTAGAATGATCCCTCCCCACTGGAGGGCTGCCGCAGCCCGCCCTCTGCCCGACCTGCAACTTCGGCCCCGCCCACTGCCTCCGCAGGTGAGTCAAGCTTGGCCTTGACCCGCCCACCTGTCCAGGTTCTGCCGGCCCCAGCCGGAAGCTTACTCCGCGGACTGTGCACAGTTCTTGAGGTGGGAACAGAAGGCTCGGGGGGGCCGGGGAGGGGGTACCCAGGCTCTGCACAGATCCTCAGGGGCTCCTGGCAGCGGGAAAGAAGCTACACATCAGAGTGGGGGTAGGTGTCTGTGCATGTCAGAGGGTGTGTTTGTTGGTGGAGGAAAGTGTGACCTGGGGGGAGGGGCGACTATGCGTATGTGTGTATGGGGGATGGGCAGGTCAGCGTGGGCTGTGAGTTCAGAGGCTTGTTGGGGAGTGTATATGTGCCCTTGGAAGGTTAGTGTGTGTGTGTCTTCTTGGGAAGAATTCACAGGGCAGGGAGGAAAGGAATAGGAGTACAACCTTAGAAACGTCAGATTGAATTCAGTTCATTCCAGTGTTACACATTCTCATGTTTTGCGGACCTAGTGCTAGGATGAGGCCCACAGCAGGCTGAGAAATGAATGAGCAGGTGACCTCTCCTTCCTAGGACGTCTCTCCTGCTCCCCTCGTTAATGTCACAAGCACCACACTGAGCGGCTGAGTGCCCAGCTCCCTGCAGCACGAGGGCACAGATCCAACAGCCAGCACTTGACCACGGGGAGCTGCCCGCCTAGCAATGACTGGTTCTGACTGATGGTTGACTGGGCAGGATGGTGACAGGTCACCCAGGGTAGGTCCAGGGACAACCTCACAGGCAGGTATGGTCTGATTTGGCCTTGACAGACTGGGGCCCCAAAAACTGAGGAGGGTGTGGCCAGGGAGCAGGAGGGTGGGTGAGTGGGAGGGTGGCGTGTGTGTCTGTCTGGAGTGCTGGGGAGGGAACTGTGGAGAAGAGGAAGAAGAGTTTGGCTTGAGGGCCATGTGCTGGATTGCAAGGCACTGTGGGGAATGGAGAGCGTTTAAAGGAATTTTAACCAGGCTAGTGATGGGGTCAGAGTTGGGTTCTAGGCCAATCACTCTGGGAAAGAGACTAGAGGTGGGGAGACCAGTTAGGAGATTATGGCTAGAGTACAAGAGGAAGGTGGTTTGGACTCAGCTGTGGCAGAGGGGTGGAGAGAAGGGTATTGTCATTCCAGAGATGTTTAGTGGAAGAGATGATGGGGCTTGATGCCAGGTTGGACGTGAGGAGGTGGGGGGGAATTTTGAAGGCACTTGTATCAAAGAATATACTGGGGTACTCCCCTCAGCTTCTCTCCTAAGTACTTTCCTAGCCTGGCTACTCTGCCCCCAAGGACTCCCTTGGTTCAGGTGCTCCACCTGCAGATACGCTCCTGCCCTAGCTCTTCGTCTGCCAGGTACTTCTAACTTTCATGCTCCTCCTCTAGATACTCCCCAGATTCAGGTGTGCCTCCTCCAGACACTCCAGGTGTTTCCAAGCCTGGATGATCTTCCTCCAGCTACTCCCCTAATTGAAGTGTTTCTCCTGTAGGTGTCCCCAGCCCTGGGTGGTAATTTCCTGATTCAGGTGATCCTCATTTGAATACTCCCTGGCTTGAGCCTCCCTCTAGGGGCAGAGTGTGGGCCTCCTGTAAGTAGAGGTGAATGGACAGGGATTTGCTTGAAGGGCTGAGAGTAGAGGTGGGCAGCAGCTGCTTTCAACTTAGAGGCAGAAGGGCCAGGGCTGCTCTGGCTGTGTCCAGGGCCCCTGTCCTCAGTTGGGACTTGCATCACTCTCCCCATATGTAGTCTCCACTTTGGCTGGGTAGCTCCAAGCAATTGCTGTTTTCTGACCTTTGGGAGCCAGGACCCGCCTCTGCTCCTGTCTCCCATCCTTAGCTTACCAAGCAGTGCAACAGACTGGGCTCTGGGTTCGAATGTGAGGACTTTGGTTGAGTCAGTTCACTTTTTTCAGCCTCAGAGCCCTCATCTATAAAGTGGGGATAATGTTTATACCTACCTTACTGGGTTTTGTGAGCATGATGCCTGGTGCTTGAATTACAAGGAATGCTCAGTAAGTTCTACAATTTAGTTATTTTTTTTTTTTTAGCATCTTCCAGAGCAAAACCCTGTGATGGTCCCTTACAAATAGCCAGTTTCTGTAGGCTCAGCTTGTTTCTCTTCTGTGGACAACTGGTGTGGTCAGTTGTCCAGTCCCCAGAGTTTGTGCAGCACTACCATGGCTGTGAGTGTGACCTGGAAAGTGCACCCTGTGACCGTCCCTGACACCCATACCTATGTTGTTTTCTAGGACTTGTGCCCTGGGGCTGCCTGGCATCTGGGGGCGTCCTCAGAGCCAGGGCTCTTTCTGGTTGAGGCTGAGACTCACTGGTGTCATCAGGCCCCTCCATGAATGAGACAAACAAAAGTGAGTGACAGTGGGAGGATGATGGGGGTGAGGGGCTTCCCCTTAGAGGCTGGGGTTGGGGGAAGGACCCTACCCGCACTCCTGTTGGTTTCTCCAGGGAGCCCCCTCTGGGGCCCACCTATAATGCTATCCCTTTCTCTGCAGCACTTGTGGGGCCCTCGGAGCTCCCCACAGCATCTGCTGTGGCCCCTGGCCCAGGCACTGGGGCTCGGGCGTGGCCTGTGCTGGTAGGATTTGTGCTGGGGGCTGTGGTCCTCTCGCTCCTCATCGCACTGGCTGCCAAATGCCACCTCTGCCGCCGATACCATGCCAGCTACCGGCACCGCCCACTGCCTGGGACAGGAAGGGGGGGCCGCCCACAAGTGGCTGAAGATGAGGATGATGATGGCTTCATCGAGGACAATTACATTCAGCCTGGGACTGGCGAGCTGGGGACAGAGGGTAGCAGGGACAACTTCTCCCTCTGAGCTCCCATCTTTGGACCCTCCCCATTCCCTCCATGCTTGACAGCTTAAGGACAGTGGTTATGACACGGGGGTTCCTCGAACCTCAGGGACAGAGGTGGCTGGGGCTTAAAGATTGGTCAGGGATGGAGTAAACCTCACTTTCCTGACACTAGCCAGCAAAGTGACAATGACCCTTCCTTGCTCAATAACTCTCAATGGTTCCCTGCTGTTCTCAGGATAAAGCCAAACAAAGGCTTGAGTGTGGATATAAGGCCCTCTGTGATCATGCCTCCGGGCCTCTTGGTTTCTTTTCTTGCCTTCCCCTACTTTACTCTCAAACTAAATGTTATTCTCCCTCCCACCACTTGCCATGCAGTTTCCCCAGGCACCTTTGCTCACATTGGTCCCCCTGCCTATGCTACTCTTCTCCTAAATCCTCTATGACTGTGATGGCCTGCCTACCTGCCAGCATTTCAAATATGCCCAGATGGTAACATTTGTGCAGGTGAAAACCAGTGCCAAGCTTCATTTTTTCTTTTTTCATTTTTCTTTTTTTTCTCCTGAGACGGAGTCTCACTCTGTTGCCCAGGCTGGAGCGCAATGGCACGTCTTGGCTCACTGCAACCTTCGCCTCCCAGGTTCAAGTGATTCTCCTGCCTCAGCCTCCCAAGTAGCTGGGATTGCAGGTGTCTGCTACCACGCCCGGCTAATTTTTTGTATTTTTAGTAGAGACAGGGTTTCACTGTGTTAGCCAGGATGGTCTCGATCTCCTGATTTCATGATCCACCTGCCTCGGCCTCCCAAAGTGCTGGGATTACAGGCATAAGCCACTGCACCCGGCCACTAATTTTTATATTTTTAGTAGAGACGGGGTTTCGCCATGTTGGCCAGGATGGTCTCAAACTCTTGATGTCAGGTAATCTGCCCGCCTTGGCTTCCCAAAGTGCTGGGATTACAGGCGTGAGCCACTGTGCCCAGCCAGCTTCTTAATGAATTGTTTTCCTATAAATAAAGTGGGTAATCTGGTTATAATATGTTTTTCACAGGAATTAATAAATCTATTTTCATTTTGAATAAAAATAAAAAATTGTCACTCATTTTTATTTTTCTGGAGCTGGGCTTTATCTCTCAGAGCTAGAAGACACTGCTCAGATGTTCCCCCCTCCACAACACCTTCCATGAGCCCTTCTCTAGTATTGTCCTGCCCACATTTTGTTTTCATCTTTTTGTTTGTTTGTTTTGAGACGGAGTCTTGCTCTTGTTGCCCAGGCTGGAGTGCAGTGGCGCAATCTTGGCTCACTGCAACCTCCACCTCCCATGTTCAAGCGATTCTCCCACCTCAGCCTCCCAAGTAGCTGGGATTACAGGCACCCACCACCACACCCAGCTAATTTTTGTATTTTTAGTAGAGATGGGGTTTTTTCATACTGGCCAGGTTGGTCTCAAACTGCTGACCTCAGGTGATCTGCCCTCCAAAAGGTGACTCGGCCTCCCAAAGTGGTAGGATTACAGGTGTGAGCCACCGCACCTGGCCATCTTTTTTTTTTTTTTTTTTTGACACAGGGTCTTTCTCTATCACCCAAGCTGCAGTATGGTGGGGCTATCACAGCTCACTGTAGCCTCGACCTCCTGTGCTTAAGTGATCCTCCCATCTCAGCCTCCCAAGTAGCTGGGAATACATGCATGTGCCACTGTGCATGGCTATTTTCTGTAGAGATGGTGTCTCACTGTATCACCCAGGCTTGTTTTGAACTCCTAGACTTTAGTAATCCTCCTGCCTCTGCCTCCCAAAGTGCTGGGATTTACAGGCTTATTTTAATCTCTATGACAGTTTGTACTTGCCCCTTGCTATGCCTGCCCCCATAGCTACACTGGGAGCTCCCTGAGGCCCCAGGCTGTGTCTTATTCTGTATCCTCAGATTCTTGCACAAGGGAGCTAGTTTTAAGACGGAAAAGACTTGAGTTAAGCTATTTTTAATTGCAAGCAATAGAAAGGAGTTTGGGGGAGAATCCTGGCTGTTGCATAGAATCAAAGGGACAGCAGGAAGCAGGCAGTCCCAGCAGCCAGAGGTCAGGCATTTCACATCTAGCATCCTGTTATTTAGGGGCACTGATGGGACTCTCTATAACCAGGACTTCCAAACTCTCAATTCCAAGTTTCAAGTGCTCAGACAAGAGAATCAGTTTGGCCTAGCTTTGGTCAAGTATACAGGGGCTTAAAGCATAATCTGCTGTGAGTCCAAGGGACATGGTTTTGGGAGCCTATCTGTTTGTTCCAGATCATTCTCAGACAAGAGGCAGTTCTCATGAGCCAGGCAGCCGCCCCCATGTGTTCCCCAAGTACAGTGTCAGCCTTTGAGGAATGAGCTGGTACAGAAGGGAAGTGAGGCATTGGCAAATGTAGTGAGGTGTTTGGCGGGAGATTGAGGAGGACTTGTGTGTAGTGTCTGAGAGGTGCCCATGGCAGTGAGGAAGCCCAAGAGTGGACTGGATCTGTTAGGGTCTTGGATGCCAAGCTCACACTTCAACCCGAGAACAACGGAGGCTCATCTGTGGACTTTTTCTGTGCAAGGGCATGACATAATCATGATAGAAAAGTCATTCTGGCTGCTGTGCAGAGATGGATTAGGGGGAGACACTGAGAGAAGGTGATAAGACCTGACTAAGGTGTGACATAGGAACAGACTCCGAGACAGGAGGGAGGAATTGCTGATAGGACCTGTTGACTTTGGATATGGGGAGTAGATAGGTATCAGAAAAAACCGCCCTGGCTTCTGGCTTGGTTGCTGGGTGCATGGACAAAGAGCAGGTCGGGGCAATGGGGATTCAGTGTTGGATGCAGGATTTCAGGGGAGATGCCTCGGGGCCGCTGGGTTCGCAGGGAGAAGTCTAGTCTGCAGACACAGGCTTGGGAACACTTAGCACCAGGGTCACTGAGAGCGGGAGTGGATGAGATCACCAGGGAGGAGTGGAATGGGAAACACATCTCAAGATTGTCAGCGGACCAAGGCCTGGCAAGGGAGTTGGAGGAAGCAGAGAGGAGGGAAGCCCAGCTCACGTGACCCCCAACCTGGCCATGGTTCCTGAGTCCAGAGATGGTCTGCCCCTCACAGGCCTGGGGACAGCAGAGGCTGCCCCAGCCTGAGACCCTGGAGGAGGACCTCAGAGACTGACCTAAGGGGCATGTCCTGGCCTTCAAGGAAAACCTGCTGCCCAGGCAGCTGGGCCTGCCCCCTGCCCCTGGGCTCCTTCGACTGCCACCACAGAGGAGCTGCCCTGCATGCAGTTCTGTGCTCGGCTGGCCCTGTTCTCCTGTACTCTTTTGGGCGTCAGTCAGAACCTCTGAGGGACCCAGGAGAAGAAGGTAATGGCCTGATTCCAGACTCGCAGTTGATTTTACTGAGCCTATGCCCCGCAGGGTGCCCGAGCCGGGGCTTCCCCTCAGAACCTGCTGTGGGTGGCCAGCCTGCCTGAGCAGGACCCTGTAGTCAAAAGAACCTTGGACCCTGTTCTTCAAGGCCTTGATTCCTTGGAGGAATTTCTTCCCACTGTGGTTTGTGTGCCTGGCCTCAAGTGCAAGGAGGGAGCATGACCTGGGCCCACAGGTGCAAAGGGCTGGGAGTGTTGGAGCTGCTGGGAGCTTGGGATTCGGCCAGGCCCTCTTTGGTTTGGCCTCTTCTGGCTTCGGGTCCTGGCCCCGCGTGCCGCTGCCCCTGGCCCTTCACCTTGTCCTCCACTCTTTGGCAGCTGCCACTACCTACTCTGCCTTGGGAATCCCAACCCAGCCACCCACTGTCTCATCCTGCTGCCTCAAAGGCAAGTCAACATCCCTTGCACTGTGTGGAGGCCAAAGATGGAGTCGCACAAAGCCACCAACATGACAATTAAGAAACTCCAGCAGTTGGCCGGGCGCGGCGGCTCACGCCTGTAATCCCAGCACTTCGGGAGGCTGAGGCGGGTGGATCACGAGGTCAGGAGATCGAGGCCATCCTGGCTAACACGGTGAAACCTGTCTCTACTGAAAATACAAAACATCAGCTGGGTGTGGTGGTGGGTGCCTGTAGTCCCAGCTACTCAGGAGGCTGAGGCAGGAGAATGATGTGAACCTGGGAGTTGGAGCTTGTAGTGAGCTGAGATGGCGCCACTGCACTCCAGCCTAGGTGACAGAGAGAGACTCAGTCTCAGGGGAAAAAAAAAAAAAAAAAGGAAACTCCAGTAGTTTCCTAGCAGACTGGCAAAGTGAATTGAGGGCACATGTTACCTGAATTTAAATCCTGGCTTGGCCATGTATATGCTGGGAGGCCTTGGGCAAGTTACTTAGCCTCTCAGCGCCCCAACTTCTCCGTGAAATGGGGATTAAAACAATGCTTACCTCATAAGGTTGTTAGCAGGATGAAATGAGTCTATGTCAAGTGGAACCGAGCGGAGCAAGTGCTCTGCAGTGTTAGTGATATCCCTGTGGGCACCCTGAGGGCAACAGCTCCTCATAAGAGGTAACCAGTGTTCGTCCTGAGGGAGGGACTTGCTGGTCTCCTTCCTCCTCATTCCCTTCCCGCTGGGGATTTGACTGTCTCTTTCTCATGACTTAGGTTGGAAGATCTGGTTAGGACAGCAAAGGATTTGAATTAGAATCTCTGGTGCTGTAGAATAATAGTACTGATGTTGTTCTAGCACTTTTTTTTTTTTTTTTTTTGAGACGGAAGTCTTGCTCTGTCACCCAGGCTGGAGTGCAATGGTGCGATCTCAGCTCACTGCAACCTCCACCCTCCTGGGTTCAAGTGATTCTCCTGCCTCAGCCTCCCGAGTAGCTGGGATTACAGGCATGCACCATCACGCCCAGCTAAGTTTTTTGTATTTTTAGTAGAGACGGGGTTTCACCATGGTGGCCAGTCTGGTCTTGAACTTCTGACCTCAAGTGATCCGCCTGCCTTGACCTCCCAAAGTGCTGGGATTACAGGCGTGGGCCACCGCGCCCGGCTGTTCTAACATTTTCTTACAACAGCCCTGCTTAATCTATGTTATAGATTGAGAAGATGAGCCTCAAACAAGTTCACTGCAATTTGCCCACCTCACTCCACAATAACACCGTTATCTCACCTTGAAGTAACAATGAAATAGACTCAGAGAAGGACCCTCTTGGCTGTTGGACTCTCATCTTGCCTGGGCTGGGTCCTCCCACCTTCACCCTCTACAGCGAATAGGGGCTGAGAAGTCTCAGGGTACAAGGTCCAGTTTTTGGAGAGCAGGTCATGAGGGTAGAGCTGGTGTGTC